CTTATGTGTAGGAGAAATGATACCATTTTTTATTCAAGATAAAGATACCATTATCTTATGATAATGGCATAAAGGTTCCTTTTAAAATTTTGGAGTTAAAAAAAAAAAAAGGTGTATTGATTGAAGATCCTAAGGAAAGAGCAGTCCAGGTGGTTCTTTGGTGTGGCGGGGCTCATGAAGGTGTTGGGCAGATGCTGCCCAAGAAGGCCTCAAGGAATCTTGGACACCAACCGAATGGAAACACATTCTGGACAAAGAATCTTCACAAACCCCATGGCTGATGAGCGTCAATAGCTGGCATGAACCAGAATCCGTATTTGAGAAGCTGGTCCTTGTTTCTCCAGGACACTGGCTTCCATCAGAGACTCGACCCAGACAGACGGGCAGCTTCTCCTTTCCGGTCCCCCTCTGGCCGTGCTCGTCAACTAGACCAGGCAGGGGCCCTCCGGCTACACAGCCCGTCCCAGAGACACTGGGCAAATTAGACCTAGGTGACATCTGTGGTGACACCACCACTTTGATTGGTTGGTTGGTACGTGAACAAAGGAACGAGTAATGGGTTTCCAGCAGGCAAGGTCTTTGGGGGAGGAAAAGGGCTGCTCTTTTCAGGAGGCCCCCAGCGTGAGGAGGCCCCCTGCCTGGTGTGTTTTCTAGCCCGGAACAGGTGGGGACAAGGAGGAGAGGAGCCAGCGTGTACCCCTGCCTCCTGTGCTGGGTATGGCAGGCATTCCGCCCACGCGATTTCACGTAACCCTCACCATAAACAGCCCAGTGAGGTAGGCATTGATGTCTTCCTTTCAGGTGAGGAAACAGCCCAGAGAGATTAGGTGACTTGCCTGAGGTCACATAGCTAAGAAGGGGCAGAGCCGGAGTTACCCCAGACTGGCCAATTCCAGACCTTTCCCAGGCTCCCCCAGAGAAGTAGGACAGTGGGAAGGCTGAACTACAAAAAGAGAATCCCGTCTCTGCATGTCCAGAGCATCACCCCACCAGCACCCTTAGGATACCTGGGCCAGCCCTGGTCCGTGTGTCTCGGTTGGGCCGCGTCCTGCTGTGCACCAAGAGGT